AGACATTGTAAAATGACTTTAAATACAAAACTAATTGATTGTATAACTATAAAAGTTTTAAGAATTTGATAAAATAATGTTATATTGTTGTATGTCTTAACTAAATTAAAACTGAAGTTGATTATTGCCGAAATCAGCAGAGGATGAGTAAACAAGTTTATTTAAATCTTTTGCATCATCTAAATATCCACCAGTAGGATTACCGGTGTCTATATCTATCGTCTCATTATCATCATATCTATCTTCTAAGTTATCTCTGTTCATCTTAACTTCTATATGTATAATAATTAATTTTTAATTTATAGTGTAAAAAATTTCCAAAAACGTGTTTACCTCCAATTTTACTTATGGAGTATTACGACAATTATTTAGTTTAAAAATAAGTTTAAAAATTATATATTTTCTAACAAAATTTTTTAATTTAATATTTCAAACAAATTAGATTATAGCAAATCATTGAACATATGTATTTTACATTTATTAAAAGTAATTTTTAAGTTTTGTGAATTAAAAATTATTTGTTTATTTTATTCTTAATAAATAATTTTGTCTTTTTTTTATAAAGTATAATTTTGCTAACAAAATTAATTTTACGTCTAATAAAAAATATTTTAAACTCTAATTTTTATTAAACAAAATTATTGTTAGAAGACAGAGATCATACTCTGGTTAACACAAGCATATTAATGTTTAAAATTTTTTATTCAACGAATAAAAAATATACACGTATTTAATTTTTACTTTTAAATCCTGTAGTATAAAAAAGTATCAAAATTAAAAACATAGTATAAATACTTAAGAAGTTTATTTAATATAAAATATTTTAAAAAACTAATCAATTTTTTATAAATTGTTAATTTTGCCTCTGGACTTTTCAGGTCGAATCCCGATATGGAACCAAAGTTATATTAAATTAATTTATAAAACCTTTAATTATTTAATAAACTATAAAGAGAAAGAGAAATTTATTAAAAGAGAAAGAATGAAGAAAACACATTTTATAAAATCCAAAGATTATAATTCTTTAGATATTTCACCCCTTAATAAAATATTATTTGAAATTTTTTTAAAAAAATTTTATCCTTTAAAATGAACATTGCTTTCAGTATAACCCTAATTTTATCTTATTCAAACAATATCATTCCTAATGTAATAGTGAATAACTTTTTTGATAGCATGGAACAAAATGTAAATCTAACAAAATTAGCAAAGAATATAAATCAAAAATTTGACTTGGTGTTATCAGTAAAAACATTTCATGATCTTTTACTTAAATATCAATTAACTGAAGATGACACGAGATTTGCTGATTATTATCATAAATCTTATATTAATTTATTAGAGTTCTGTGCCATGAGGATTTCTCATACTGATTTTATTAATGGAAACAATCTTATTAAGAGAATCATTCTTAAAATAGTACAATTAAGAAAACTGAATTTTATTTTCAAAAATCTTATAAATATACTATCCGAAAAGACTAAATGTGAATCAAATAATTTTATTGAAGCAACTAAAGTCGCTAATGATTTTGAAAGCATATTAAAAGACTTACAAATTATT